TCATTACATGTCAACCCCATAGAATATCCAATTTTATTCATTACATGTCAACCCCATAGAATATCCAATTTTGGCTTACGTTAAAGCAAGAGATTACTGCCAAGTTAATCTATGGCATGCAAACCATTTTATAAGTTTTACCAATTTTCCTGAAGATTGTCTACTCCTGTTACAGTAACACTAGTTTAAAATTCTTGAATGTGCCACTCAAGACAGATTAGGAAACAACTTAAAAGGCCATAATAGAATGATAATGACCAATTCAACCATGTATTTTTACATTCAAATCACATGGCATCCTTGCCCACCAAATCCTTGCAAGTTAAGGTAGAGATGCGGGCACTTAGGAGAGAAATGTTTTTTTTTTTTTTGCTTTTTATTATCCAAACAGTCTTGGCTATATAGACTGTTAAAATTTTGTAGAATAGTGGAACACTCAAAAAACGATTTTAAAATACAAAAATAAATGTATAGATAACAGGTGCAAACATTCTTTTGAATGCTTAGCAAAGCTGTACATAAATAGTAAAAAGGAAACATGGTGAAAAAAAGAAATGACAGGATCTCCATGTTATGCACTATATTTAACTTTTAACAAAACGACAATGCTTTTAAATTTGGAACTGTACAGCCATTTTAATGAGCATTAGCAAACTTCTAAGTGAATTGTTATGCAAATTAGCAATTATCTCTGCTTCTTTTTACTGCACATCCCAGAACTTTAAAAAAAAAGGCTCCTAGACGATTTGACCTTTCGTTTTGAAATTTTCAAAAATGATTGACAATGTGTTTATCTTCAAAACATCGTCGGGGCATTGTTTTTGGTTGAACAGTGTTACAGCAATCGTACAGACAACTAGCCTGGGGATTCATTTATGCATAAACTTGAAGTGCAATATGAGCTGCTGCCCTGCAAAATTAACAACTGGTAGACAGTTTTCAAGACGGCACTTTCTTCATAGTAAACAGATGTACCCATAAACCAATTTCGACAGGAAACAGAAGCATGGTTTAGAAGCTAATTTTTTTTAAATCACTTTCGACCAAAAAAGCAGTCTCCATGAAAAAAAATAGAAAATATAGTTTTGTGAACAAGGTAGGTCATCTTGGTTTCCTAATTAAAATACCTGTCAGGTAAACTGCATCTCTACCTTAAACAAGTCTTGAAAACGGCACTAGAAGAGTTCTAATATTCACTTCCAGATACTATTATCAAAAGTACAATTTTAGGTTATTTGAAGGATGTAAATCTGACAATTAAGGTAGATACTGATAGAGGTTTTCATATGAAACCAGACCTTAAAAGCACATTGATTGTACATTAATAAAACTACACATCACAAAAAACATTTACACAAACTAAGAGTGAATACCACTTTATTTTCAAGTTATCTACATAAAGAAATGGTACAAAATGTCATTCAACTTCAAGTTCCAATTGTAATATAAAACTATCATGTAAAAACATCAATTGAAAAAATTCTGTTATCTGACCATTTTTAATAAAGGAACTTTGTGAATGAGCACGATATTATTTACAGCAATTGACAAGATCAAACAGCAGTGTCTTGCATTTCAGTTAACTTTTGGATATAAAATGCAAACTTCTAATAGGAATTCTCCAATACAAGGATCAAGGGGAAGCATTGTTTTTTTTATATTTACAGGTGTTGTGTACAATTGAGATTGTTTCAAGTGAATTTTTGAATAAACACGACTGATGCTTTTCTTATTTCATGATTAAATGAGTTACATTTGAAGTCAATAACAGAAAACAATGGCAGTGTCACTTTCAATTACATTATCGAACTAGTCACTCCTTATGTCCACCAATTCTAATTGTTATATATGAATAAAATGCATGTAAAAGATTGTTGCCATGACGACACTAACCATATAAATTATGAAATTTTAGAAAAAATATATAAAAATTGAAATAACGTATTTACACAAGATAGCTAAAAAATTAAAGCAGGATAGATAAACTATACCTGTCAACACTTTGAAAAGAGAATGCCAGGTATACTTTAAAATAAAACTATAAAAAGCTAAGAATTAGTTAAAAAATTAAAAATACACAATGCAAGGCATAGCAACTTAATGTTAATAAAATGCAAATTACATCTTCATTATCGGACAAGTTACTGTCTCATGAACACTTGCTGGGAAGGAAGTATTGGGTAACACTTATTTACGGCTGTGTAAGCAAACAATAGTTTCGGGATTTTATGTGGTGCAAGCATTCAATACTTTGTTTTACTGTGACTGCTCATATTGTTCCGAACACCAAAACTGCAACATTGCCAAATAGAAAATCACAATGCAATTGCCTTTCAATTTATTTCACTCAATTGCATAAATTTACATGTCTCCCATAAATGAAAGCTAATGCTGAACAGCGCACCCTCGTAATAGTGATTTCAACTATCCAGTTCTAATCGTTAACGATCTCAAGACACATAAGCAAACCAGTCAGCAACTTGGCTGGCAATGTTGCCATTTTGGTGTTTTGAGCAGTATGGCAGTGACAGTAAAAAAGCCATTAATTGGCTTTGGTTATGAATTAGTTAAATGCTGCTGAATGCAATAAAAACTAGCACAAATGTGTCATTTGACATAATATAAAAGTGGCAGTATAACCAGTCTTAGAGACATGCAATTTTGAAGGCAGTGTAGAGCTCTAAGCAGATATCTGAAAATGTAAAGATACGCTGATGGCAGTCTGGTACAAGTAAATTGGAAATTATTTGGATACACATTAGAGTTCTAACATGTCCAGGCTTGGAATCTTGGCTACTTCAAAGAAAACCCTGAAAACAAGAAAACAATCATTACAATCCAAACGGCAACATTTTAACACTGCCCACATACAGAATTAGTTTTTATTGACCTGATTCACTTGCAAAGTTTGTGTCCAGTTGTAAAATATTTAACTTGTTCTCGTTGACATTATTCAGTGGCTTTTAATTTTGCTATTTTCACTGATAAGTAAAATCCACTAAATTAAATCCATGTGAAATAATGCAACTTCCTGTCAAGTTGGTGAACTTAAAATTCAGTAAATTGCTTAAAACATCAAAATGGTTATATGCCAGGGAAAATTAAGCATTTTACATTATCATGTTTAGATACATTGCATCACAATTTCTGAATGCTCTTTCATAAATTGTCTCAATTTGTGTACATGTTAAAAACATCTTATCTAGTGCAATAGTTTCATCATTGCACTCTTCAAACCCAAGCTTTGTATAATATCCCATGAATAGGGCAAATTGTGGTTTGAATTGAATGCACTAAGTGGAAACCATTCCACTAACTAGATTCAGAACCTTGCATTAAGAAAAATACTGTAGTTTCTAAACTCTTTATGGCAAGTTCTATGGTTTAAGAATTCTAAAAGTGCTTGATAATGTACTGTGCAGTGATGATGCAAATTGTGTTTGACTGCTTACCTGTGAGAGTATTTTGTTCTGACAGTTGCAAGTTGTTTATTTGGGTTTGATATTAATGCATTCAGTTTCTTTACACAAGGTAATATATCTTGACTCTTGTAGCCTGAGTAATGTTCTAAAGTTGAATCCTACAACAAAACACAAGAGTACATGAATTCAAATATACCTGCATATCTAATAGAATGATTGTCAGATTATATGGACAGCAAGTTATGTACAAAATATAAAGGTGACCAGAAACAGTTTAATGTATCAATTTTATGGTCACAGGCACATGGGTCAAATTTGCACTTTGATACAGAGAAAAATCTAATAAGTCTAGCTACGAGTTGCTGACTGCAGTGTACAAGTAAAAAAAAATTCCGAAGCTCAACAAAGGGGATACTCTTTAACAGCCTGTATTCTTCCATTGAACAAATTTTGCTACTAAAGACAAGTATGCTTGACCCACACTGATGTCATTATCTCTACAAACGCGAGGTGGGGACACAAGGTAGTTCTTGAAACCAATCTGAGTTCTAGAATTCACCTGGACATCTCTCATAATGAAAGTTGTAATGTAACCACCTGAATTGCAAAACTACCAAGTTGTGGGGCGACATGAGGGAATGAGACAAACTTAAGATCAATGCATGTGCCGTGCCATTTACATCTAGGTATTTTCAATTGTTCATCTAGGCTATGGATAGCATTAGATAACGCGTATGGAGGCTAATATGTAAATAAGTGTCCATTGTTCAAAGAGCAAGAGTTTTTAGAACCTACCTAAATATCAAATGAATATTTTCTTTTGTGTGCATGTGTAAATTGGTGAACCTTTCTTCTGGCTTTACAGTTGCAATGAACTCTTTAGTTTTGTGAGTTCTATTACTTACCCATTCCATGATTCTCTTCATTTTAAAGGCCAACAGTAACGTGGCAGCAGCTAGATGAGACTCCTTATAATTTACACAGAAATCGTAATCTTGCAATGTTAGTTCCAATATATACCTAGCCAGCGTAAGCGTTTCCATAGTAGCTTTTGAACACTGCAAGTCAAATTAGAATCAAGTTAAAGCACACTTTCAGTAAGTAGACTGGTAATCAATTCACTATAACAATTCATGAAAGTCTTACCTTGGCAAACCTCCTGAGAAACCTGTATGACAATGGCACACCAACATCAAAATTCAAAGTCTTCAAAATAGTCCTTTCCATCGCTAAAAACTCAGTCCTACGATAAGCGTCATCACAAATGAAGATAAAATCATCAAGTACAGGCGGGCATCGTTCCTGTAACACAAAAATTAAGTTTGGATTCAAATATGTACATCCAGTGTATTGCTAGATTGGCAAAACAATACTTGTAGCACGTAACTGGAGTAGTTTTTGCTTACAGAATACATGTACCCTAAGAAAGTGGTAGCGGTAGTTAACGATTGCAGTCCTTTTTAGACATCACTTTCACCTTCAGATTAGTGAATATACAATTTACAATAGCTGAATTAAACAATGAAATTAAAGGTAAATCTTACATCAAATTTGCAAGCAATAAACAAAGCAGTTGCACCAACTAATTGTAAAACTTCTCTGCCAACATCCTTTTTCATGAGGTATCTGTCAACTATCTTCACTGCCAAGTACAGAGTCTCGTGATTTAGTTCAAAGTTCTCTTGCACCTCCACTAACCAGTCAACCAATATAGCACGCATATTTTTAGTAATGTCAGTCTGATTATCCAGATACGGATCAACTTTAAAAAGAATCTGAAAGACATATAGGGACTTTGAGAATGCAGCGTTTCATCTTAAACTGTATAGTATATATAAAGAACATTTTCAGCCGACTCTCACAAGACCAAATATTGCATTAATTTAAAATTGAATCACTGAATATGATCTATGTACACATCAATTAATTTTGTAAACTCATGCGATACTAAAGGGTGGTACAAAACTTTAATATAGCCCAGAATACTAGTCTTTACACAAGTTGGTGGAAACATCTTGTTTGAGACTTTGCCCATAAGCACCCCATACAATTAAACACCACATCTCAAACTGAGTGGTTCATCTATTAATATCTTATCAAGTTTGGGTTATAGAAAACTTAAAGCAAATTCACTGCAGGTAGCCCAATAGTGGCTTAAGACTGGTGAATCTATGATCCTCATTGGGAAAGTACATGCGTCAGTTATTTTAATTGCTCACTGATTGTTTTTTTTCAAATTACGACACATTCAGTTGATTATTGGTGTACAGGTAATTGCCATATTGCATAGATTCTGCATTGCTTGCAGAAACCAATCCACTGAATTAATTTTGTAAGGTTGCCACTCTATACAGTGCAAGTTCAATAATTGCATGCAAATTTGGATGGGACTGTCCAATCAAAAAACATTTGTGTTGTACATTCTCATGTTCTACCTATGTGTTCAAACTGTTGATATAACCTTTACTACCATGTTTCAAATGCCCAGGTATTTTGAATCCTGTAAAACGTGTTGAAAAAGCTACAAGCCATTTTAGCAAATTTGATTAAATGCATAAAATAACAATCTCAATTCTTGAAGTGCCAAATTATTCTGAGAAAATATGTTTTTTTAATTAGTGACATCTTGAATTAGCAAAAATAACATGCTGAAAAGACGTTTTACAGTAATTACTTAGAACTACCAAATACACAAATATATAAACTGTCAAAACTAAGAAAAATGTCATTCAACATTTACCATGGCACATACACAACCTACCTCCCTTTCTTTGTAATAATCAAATATTTGACTAGCATACTCTGGTAGGAGGTTAGGGTCTAATCTATTCTCTGCATCAATATCAATGTAATCGAGTCTTTCTGAGTCCATCTGAAAATGAGCACATTCCACTTTCATAAAACCTCATACAGAAAAAAGTTATTTCAAGTAAGGAATCGGTTATGATCAGAATTTTGTAAATATTGAATTAGATCGATTTGGAAAAT